ACCAACCGAGTCAACTGTACAGACAGGCTTCTAATCTAGGAGATGATCTAGGCGTTTTCAACCATTAGTTAGAAAGGTGTAATATTGGAGAACTGCCTGTTCCCCCTGTATTGAGCGCTCAATAGATCGGTGCCGCTTAAAAGACTGAGAAAAATTTCTTTTTTGAGAATATGTAGTAGCGATTGCTTCTCAAATATCCCGGGCAATATCCATGGATAAGTAGCCTTCACCAATCTCAAGAACCATAGAATGAATAAGCCACCTCATGATTAAAGAGTTGGTAATCTCCCATTGGTCATAGCCGGGATCTGTAATACCTGGTGCTTGAACTCTCCCATTAACATATCCCATCTTTATCTTACTCTTCAGAAAAAGTGTCAGACACTGAGACCATGAAAGGTAATTCTGACTATTAAACAGAGCGGTGGTGATTTTGAGGCTAGAGTTCAGGTTCTCAGATGTAGTAGTCATAACTGGACTGGAGCTCTCCCCTTTAGATAGGTGAGAACTAGTGGTAGATTCACTAGTTAGGTCAGCCATAAGAACTCTATACTCTCAACCCGAAAAACCTTGCACGAATCACAAGAATGGAAAAGGGAATGGAATGGGCTAGAACAAGCGAAATCACATACAGACCACTATGGGAGCATAACAATCAAATTAATAGGTCATCTATGGATTCAAAAAATAAATCAAATACGGGAAAACGAATCTCCAATCAAAACAAGTGATGAACTGTGTTCGAAAAAGTAGAGGGAAAGAAACTTGGGGCAACAGAACGACAACCCTCAAACACTCATCCACAGGAGTCGAAATACTCAAAGAGCGGCTAGGACAGCCTTCACAAGGGTCGACTAGGCCAGAGGGGCCTTCGGCTGAAGCCGAAACAGCTTTGTGGGGCCTTGATTGGTTCTGACAGAGACTTAGGGACCAGCAGTGGAGGATGGGTAGTGATAGGTGATGGCTGGTTGGTGGCAGCGGCTGTGTGGGTTACGGTTTTTAGGGTTCTGGCTCTGATACCATGTAATTTGAGAGAATACAAAGCTTGAGTGATGATTATGATATCATCACCTTTTATATTAATCAATCAATTGTTACAAAAGGAAGCCCTAAGATACTAATTAAAGAATTACCTTTTATATTGATTGATTGACTGATTAAAGAATCACAATCAATCAATCAATTAATCAATCAATCAATCAATCACAATTTAATCTAAATAAGGAAACAAGGAAATATTCTAACATTAAAGTCCTCCTGAGTGATAATGGTATTAAATATATTGATGGTGCGTTTCGGGCTTATCTTGAAGCCCATAGCATTCTTTATCAAACCAGTTGTATTAGTATCCCTGAATAGAATGGTGTTGCCGAACGCAAGAACCATCATCTTCTTGAGGTTGCTCGTGCTCTTAAGTTCACGATGCACGTCCCTAAACCATAATGGGGTGATGCGGTTCTTATTGCTACATATCTTATTAACCGAATACCTTCAAGTGTCCTCTAGTTTCAACGTCCCCTTGACCTTCTTCCCCGTATGTCTGTTCACCCTGTTTCCCTTCCACCTAAGGTCTTTGGTTATGTCTACTTTGTCCATTCCTCTCATTCCATCCGAAGAGACTTGATCCCAAGGCCCTAAAGTGTATTTTCCTTGGTTATTCTTCTACCTAAAAAGGTTATCGGTGCTATGACCCTCACACTTGCGAGGTTTATATTTCCATGGATGTTACCTTCTATGAGTCTCAGTCATTTTTCCAGGGATCATCTCTTCTGGGGGAGGTTTCTATTCCAGCAGAGATTGGTTTCCGGAATTCTATGTTTTCTCCTTCCAGTGGCTGTGAGGGGAAGGGTGGGTTCCCGAATTCTATGTTTTCTTGTTCCAGTGGTTGTGAGGGGAAGGGTGAGCCATGTAGTGAGGAGGAGGTGATTCTTTATGTTCAGGGGGAGCCTAGTCGGTTGGATAGAATAGATCTCGAGACCTAGTCTTGGCGACGGAGGGAACATGTGCTGGATGTGCTGCTATGCCAATCATCTCCGTCTCTGATTTTAGGTAATGGGTCCTTTCTCTTGTCCCTTCTAGTGATGCTCATAAAGTTGATGATTCAGATCTTTCCATTGCTCTTAGGAAATGAGTTAGAACTTGTACTCAACATGCCATATCTCATTTTGTGTCATATGATTCATTGTTTCCATCGTATCATGCATTCGTTTCGTCTTTGTCTTCTACATCTATTCCGCAGGGTTGAAAGGAAGCTCTTATTGATCCTAAGTGAAAAGAAGCTATGGCAGAGGAGATGAGAGCACTGAGTAAGAATGGCACTTGAGAGTTAGTTTCTTTACCAATCGGGAAAAGGCCTATGGGTTGCAAATGGGTGTTCACAGTTAAGCAGAAAGCTGATGGGACCATTGAGAGATATAAGACAATGCTAGTTGCTATAGGGTTCACTCAGACCTATGGTATTGACTATCGGGAGACTTTTGCGCCAGTGGCCAAGATGAATTCCATTTGTGTCCTTTCTTGTGCAGCAAATCTGGGGTAGCCATTACAACAATTGGATGTGAAGAATGCATTTCTTTATGGGGATCTAGAGAAAGAAGTATATATGGATGTTCTTTCAGGCTTTTGTTCTCCAGCCACTGAAGGGAAGGTTTACCGGTTAAAGAAGGCCTTGTATGGGTTGAAACAATCTCTTAGGGCTTGGTTCGACAGGTTCCTTAAGGTGATGCTCAGATTTGGGTATAAGCAAAGCCATGTAGATCATACTTTGTTCATTAAACGGTGTGGAGCTAAGATCACTATCCTTATTGTGTATGTGGATGACATTGTGGTGACAAGCAATGATGAAGAGGAAATGTCTAAAGTCAAAGCTTAACTTTTTAGGAAATTTGAAATCAAAGATCTTGGTTCCTTACGGTACTTTCTTGGGATTGAGATTGCTAGATCAGAGAGGGACATCTTCATTTCTCAAAAGAAGTATATCTTGGACTTACTTGAGAAAGTAGGGATGTTGGGGTGTAGACCGGCTGATTCTCCTATAGAGGCTAATCACAGGCTTAGTAGTGATGGAGATCATGTAGACAAGGGGAGGTATCAAAGGCTTGTTGGAAGACTGATATACCTCTCCCATACTAGGCCAGATATTGCATATGCCATTGGCGTTGTTAACTAATATATACATGATCCTCGGATGGGGCATTTGGATGCCGTTCATAGGATCTTAAGGTATCTTAAATCAGCGCTTGGAAAAGACATCTTGTTCTCTAATCATGGTCATTTAAGGTTGGAGGCCTTCACCGATGTAGATTGGGTTGCTGCTATTGAAGATAGAAGGTTTACCATTGGCTATTGTACATTTGTAGGAGGGAATTTGGTGACTTGGCGGAGTAAGAAGCAGTCAGTAGTTGCCAGATGGAGTACAGAAGCGGAGTATCGCGCCATGGCGCGTGACATTTGTGAGTCGACATGGCTTAAAATTTTACTGGCTGATCTCGGATTGTTGAGTGGTGGTCCCATGCGACTGTATTGTGATAATAAAGCTACTATTAACATTGCTTATAATCTGGGTCAGCATGATAGAACTAAGCACATCTAGATTGATCGACATTTTATCAAGGAGAAAGTGACTAATGGCATAATTTGTTTGTCTTTTGTCACATCTAAAAATCAATGAGGTGGTGTGTTTACCAAAGGGTTAGAGAGTAAAGTGTTTCATCCTATTGTATGCAAGTTGGGTATGAGAGACATCTATGTACCAACTTGTGGGGAGTGTTAAGTTATGTGCTTGAGGGTATCAGTGTCATTGTACTTATTCTCTTTATTATTATAAATACAAGTGCTTAGTGAGGTAAGAAACCTAATTAGGTTTTTGTGCCTCTTCTTCCAGCAAATCTGTCTCTCTCTCTCTCAACTGTTACGCTCTAGTTTTAACTATATACCTGGACATATACCCATTAGTATTGTGTTATATCTTTCATAATTGTGTTTAAAGAATTGAAATGTCATTTATGCATGTATGGAATCGCCATGTGATGGGAAATATTCACAGGAATTGTAGTGAATAGTGATCATATCATCTAACATTTTCTGTAAAGGAGCAGGAAGTATTGACATGAAAGTTCACATCGCCCCTAGGCTGTTAAAACTTAATTTACTATAATGGATGGAATACCTCAAAATTAGTTTCTCAGGTCCTGTTTGATAACATATTTAAGCACTTGAAACTGAGGCTGCCTTTGCATGCTCAACAGACAGCTTTTGTTATTGTACTATAAGGCAATGGTGCGATAAGCATAATGGCATCTGTGCATATATGTTTGCACATTGATATATACAGTGTTAGTTAAGGTTTGATGGGTACTGAGGTTTAAAGTTCTTATGGAGATTAAACGCAAGGTGTGGCACGGACTTTATTGAAGCCAAGTGCAGGTTTTAATTTACTAGAAATATTTTTTGAAGTGGGCAAATATTTTAAGTTTAATGTAGACAAAGTCAAATGAATTCTCAAGACAAACAAAAGACCAACAGCACTCCCCCTCAAAAAACAGGATGGCCCCTAAGAAATTACCGAATCTAGTCTCCCATGAATTACACAATCAAAAAAAATTAAGCAATTAAGTAGAGTAATAAATTATTTAATCAAATTTAGTTAGTAAACAATATAATTAATTAGAAAAAAAGAAAGAGTAAAATATTATAAAAACACAATGTATTCGTTATTCGGAACAAGGGAAAAAATAATGTGGTCCCCAACCCAGGCTCCAAAATCCAATGTCTAGATCTTTGACCCAAAAAGGCCGAAACCAAAATATCTTTGATAAAACATGAGTCACTGGTTGGTGGTGTCTGACCAAGAGCAACATGAAAAAACCCCAAATCTGTAACCTTTTGACTAAATTTAATTATCATATTGTATCTGAGCTTGTTGAATTAGTTTCATTATTGGTGGCTAGATTCTTGTATTATTGAGAAATTTTATATTTGGTAATTGGATCGTTATACAGGTCTACAGTATGCTTCAAGGAAAAAGAGATGTTGATACTGTGTTAACAATGGGTATCATGGAAGATGTTAGTATTGTTCCCCAGCCTGCTGGAGGTAACATGATATAATGCATAATTTATGATGCTTAATGCTTGGGAAATTGTTATATATATAATATGCTATTTCTGTGTACGTCTCTATAAACATAATATGTATTGGTGTTTTAAAACTAAAATTTTCTGCAGATACTGGTAAGGTTGATTTAACAATGAATGTTGTTGAACGTGTTAGTGGAGGCTTCTCTGCTGGTGGTGGGATTTCAAGTGGGTATGTGATGTTATGGAGGGCACAACTGCAGATAATATGTGACTAAATTACTTCTATATTATACTTTTATTTTGTGCTTTTGGCACTTTAGAAAGATTAAAACCAAAATGTACTTTTGGTGGTATCTGCAACAATATTTACTTCATGATTCTTCGATTTGTAGGATAACAAGTGGCCCTCTATCAGGACTGATTGGAAGGTAAGACTATTATTATACAAGTTGGCTGAGTTCTTTAGTTTTTGGTTCTTCATCTTTCCTTGTCATTACAATTTGCTTGTGTATTAGCTGTCTCAAGGATGCCATTCGTTTCTTTTATGGACATAGTTGATTTTGTTTGGTGTGCTTTGATGCATTTTCAAGTATGAACTGAAATTACGGATGTTGGACATTTTTCTCTTGTATAACTACAATTGTGTCGGTTATGGATAGGACTATTTAGATCATTACGTGTTGTGGTTTGGCCGTTTAGGGCATTCTTATTTAAGATGTTTAGAGCATATTCATAATATTTTTCTTTTATTTTCTGTTCATCGTTTTGCTCAATGTTACAGACTGTTTTGGTAAAAAAATGCATCTTCTAAGTGGAAAAATTTGGTCAAAGATTGGATGGATGGAAGATGTACCCACCTACTACTTACCTTTGTTTTAGGAATTTGGTGGGAATTTCAAAAAAAATTGAGAAAATGATGAGCGCAAGGTTGTTAAAATTAGATCCTAGGGAGGATTGTTGGGAGGGACTTGTAGATCAGATCGTAAAATCGAATAAAGGATCGTAAGATTCTACTTTTAATGTAAAATAAAACTATAAATTATCTATAATGATAATGTATGTTAAACAATTGTAAAATCACTAAAGAAAAATGATTAATTTGATATAATGCATCTTTTATGTTATCATAAATTAGAAGAAATGTTTGTAGTTAGAATTTATAGTCAAATTTCTTATATAGATTTACATATATACATTCATATGTAAGAAACAAATAATAAGAGTTTTTTTTTTGGGGGGTAAGATCAGGATCATAGTAGAATTGGGATCGTAGTTCGATTCTATTCAATTTTATGACTAGAATCATAGTCACTTAAGATCTTACTAAATTTAAGATCCTAGTGCAATCCGGATAGTTTGGCCCAACTAGAGTTGTAGGATCTTAAGATCCTACGATCCGGATCAAGATTTTGATAACCATGGATGAGGGATTTCTTGTGGAAATGTAGTGGAGTGTGAAGAAAGACCGCTTAATTAGTTGGGATGTGGTATCTTAAGAATAATGAGGGTCTTGTTCGGGTCACGTTTTAGAAAAGAACATTGCATTGCTTGGAAAATGGTACGGAGATTCCTGGTTGAGCATAGTTCTTTATCCTCTTGTTATCAAGAGTGAGTATGTGATTTAGGGTAATGGTTGGGATTCTCACGTGGTAAATTAGGGAAATTCCCAATCTCCATGAAAATTCATTTCTCAAGGTTTGTCACATTTTTCTTTATTCATTCATCTTGTTGTGTGAATTGGAAAATGATTTGTTTTTGAGAAGAATTGGGAAAAGGGGTGAAATTCTCTTCGTTCATTTGTTCCTTGTATCGTGTCTTGTTATCATGATGCTTCAATTTCATTTGGTAAAATAATGCATCTTCTAAGTGGAAAAAATTGGATGGATGGATGGATGGAAGTTAGTATTACACGGTCTTGGGTAGAACTCACAACCAAAGCTAGCTATTAAGGTGAGGGTGCCCTCATGTTTATATGCTTAATATTACTTTAGTGCTAAAGTGATGTGAGATTTCGCTTCACACCCTCCCTCATGCCCAGCGTGCTCACTCGACAGCACCTACGGTGTGAAGGTGAGGGACACACACCCTACCCATCCCTGAGTACTCTGGTTCTTATACCATTTTATACGGTCTTGGGTAGAACATACCTCAAATGCTAGTTATTAAGGTGAGGGTGCCCTCACGCTTATATGTTTAATATTTACTTTAGTAATTAGGTGATGTGGGACTTTGCTTCATAGTTAGAACCCTAAACAAAGGTAAGTAGTAGATGGTTTTCTATTTATGGAAATTAGTGTATCTGTTCATTTTATTAATTTGGATACTAGTGTCCCATTTTATTCACTCACAAATGCTCCTTATAATTTTTCCTGAATTTCCTAATATCTCATGAATTTCAATCTATTACATTTTTAAGCTATGAAGCACGGATACTTCAAATAGGGTGACATATTCGTATCGTATCCGTATCAGATACCGATACTCCTTGGATACTCGCGGATACGTATCGGATACTTATTAAAAGTATCAAATACTTCTTAATTATTTTTTCATTAATTTTGGAGTATCGGATACTTAATTTTGAAGTATCGGATACTTCAAGTCATGTATCGGATACTTATTAAAAGTATCGAATACTTCTTAATTATTTTTTCATTAATTTTGGAGTATCGGATACTTCAAGTCATGTTTACTTGTTTTATGAAATTAGAATTGTAACATTTCTTGCATAGTAATATAATATAATATAATTGTAAGTATAAATATAAGAATATTTTTCTAATACTTTGTTAAGTTCTTCGATAAGAAGAGTATAGTGAGTTAAATAATAGAATTTATCAAACTAATGTATCCTAATTATTTCATGCATGTCCCCTATAACTACATAGAAAGTAAGAATTAACAAGATAATATAACAATGGTAAAATTAATTATCAATAAATAAATAAGCAAGTAAACTTGAATACAATATTTTTCACTAGTGTCAAAGGAAAAAGCATAGGGACAAATTGTGAATTGTTCTATTATTGTAATATAAATATATTAAACTTGATCTTGAAATGAAATATTTGCAAAACCTATTAAAAATTTAAGAAGTAAACAAGCTACTAGCTTAAATTAAAACAAAATTCTTAAAAGTTAATATTTTGCATTATAAAATTACATTATGATTTCTCAACGTTCTTTAGTTTGTGTAACTCACTATTAATAATTTTAAAAAATATATTTTTCACAAACGTATCCTAGCCGTACCGGTATCCTATTTTTTTAGATTTTGTCGTATCGCCGTATCCGTATCGTGTCGTATCCATATCTCGTATCAGTATCTATGCTTCCTAGTTTTTAAGAAAGGCAAAGAGTGGCACAATTCTCATAAAACAAGTTTCACAAGAAGAAACAAATTGGTGATTAAAAAAGAACCTATACCAATCCTGTTATTCAAGCATGCCATTCTTGTGTCTTGTTTGTAGGACTTGTTTTTCAAACCTAATAGTGATTAAATCATTAAGATCACAATGGCATAGAACTAATTTAATATCAAGCCATAAACAAACGAATGAAGAAAAAACATTGTTAATCCACAAATGATTGAAATGATTTAAATAATCAAAGGATTAGCAGAGAACAATTGGTAAAAACTTGGGTACAGTTCTTCACGTGGCCATTGTGTGATAACTGATAACCATGTAGCAATTCTGCCCACTCAAGAATGTTGGCCTCGACGATGGCCCCCACAAATGTTGGCCTCGACGATGGCCCCCACAAATGTTGGCTTTAATACAGATGTGACAATCGTCTATTGGCGGCCTTTACCACCTGCATATAAAAAACTGTACCTAAGTTGTTTCTGGTACAGTATTTAATTGTAAAAAACTGGCGTAGATATAGTGTGCGGGAGTTGGAGACTTGATGCCAAACATTGACGGAAAATGTCAGCTTTGTTATCCATGACAACAGCAAAGGTGGGGGCCAGCAGTGGTGATGTTGCAATGATGAAAATTGGGCCAAGTCAGTGTGGTTGACACTGACCAACATTGATAATAAGGGAGATATGGCTGTGGTGTGTGTCCAGCCAGGCACGGCATGTGCCTTGACATAGGGTTTGAGTGTGAATCTCTCGTGCATAATGTAAATTATATCATAATTTATTTTTATTTTATTTATGCAACACATAATGAAGGCCGCAGCATCTTGAGGTACAGAATGAACAGTTGCTTTTTCTTGTGTGAAAGAAGGAAAACAAAGAAAAGGGGTTCAGGTTATTTTGTTTGGTCCCATGGTTTCAATTTTAGTAGTTTCAAGCCTGCAATAATTATTTGAAATTTCTAATTGGGAAATATTTGCTTGTGAACTTTTTGGAAATTGATATAGAAAATATATACATGGCTGCTGAACATGCTTTGGCCTCTGACTTGCATGATGAAAACAAAAAATTAAGGTGACCAAAACCTACCTGACCAAAAACCTGTGTATGAGACAAAATCCACCATCTTGTAGTATCCTGTACAGGGATTTTGTTTTTAGCTGTCTTAATGATAAAGGCTCAAATAGGCAACTTATTTTGACTGTTTAACTTAAAATTTATTAATTTTTTCAGTGCAGTACTGTAAAGAGTGTAGCTGGAAAGGGTTTCAACATCTTATGGTGCTGGATTGGCTTCAGTAGGAACCTTGATATTAGGGAAGTTTGATAGTTTCCTAGTTGTCTTCCTGTTGCGTTGGTGTTGTCATGACAAATATTCTCAGCCCAGGTTTCATGCATCATATGACCATCCCCAGGGGTATCTATCAGCATAGTGAACCGGGCGACCAAAAGTAACGAACTAATGATCAGTCTTAGATTAAAATCTGGGTGCTTTGCGCCTCCAGAAGAGCTGGTTTGAGTCCAGCTCGTTACTAAGGCACAACTCGAAGTCTAAAACTCTAGCCTAGCCCCATTCAATTCAACCCAAACAAATCTTTCTGTATGAAGTTATAAGGCAATAATTCAGTGTAGGACTGGGAAAAGAAAGATATGGTCTATTACACTTACATATAAATTTCTTTTGGTTAATTATTGGCTAAGAAACACGGATATGGATACGGATGCGGATGCAGATGCAGATGCGGACACGCGACACGTCGATTTCAAAAAAATGGGGCATGGACACAATGGGGACGCGGCAATAAAATATGTTTTCATATTTTTTTATTTGCTATCTAGATTAATATTAATTTACATCCACAAACAATCAATATTAACAAAAACTAATTCTAATTCTAATTTTTTTTTAAAGCACTTTTAAATTAACACTTATAGTTTATATCTCTTTTTATGGATGATCTTTTAAGTAATTAAATTTAAGAAAAAAATAATAAACATTCAACATTCATCAAAAGCACTAAATAAAATGAGAGAAAAGACAACTTGGCATATCCCTAGTGTGTCCCCGAAGTGTCTCCTGAAAATAAATTAGTTAATAATTAAATAAGGGGACACGCCATGTGGTTTATCCCATACGTGTTCCTGAAGTGTCTGTGTGTCCGATACGGATACGGCATTTGTTTTGAAGTGTCGGTGCTTCATAGATTATTGGCTTATTGGTCTTGTTTGATTTGACATCTATTAAAAGTAAAATTCCTCCGTTAATAACTATTGACTGGTTATTTGCTTGGTGTAAGCTTGTTAGCTGGATATTGCACATTTCATAATTTGATCTCTTGACCTCCCATCAAACCATATTGGCAATTCTGTATGTAAAGAGTATTAAAGTGATTATTAAATGTTGACATGATTGATTTGTGCATTACTTTTCAAAAAAGAAAAAGATCAATTTATATATTGAATATATGTGTCCATATGCGCACGCGCGTGCATGTATATAGCATCAGGCGTTGCTTTACATTTTTGTACCCATGAATGATTAAGATTCTTATATACCTTGATACTTTGATTGCAGCTTTGCATATTCTCATAGAAACGTATTTGGGAGAAACCAAAAGCTCAATGTTTCATTAGAGAGAGGGCAAATTGACTCAATATTTCGAATAAACTACACAGACCCATGGATTGAAGGTGATGACAAGCGGACATCAAGATCAATCATGATTCAGGTAATTTGAGGATATCTTATATTTGTTTCTACCATGATTTTTTTAATGGCGAGAAGCAGATTAACATGTGGACTACTTGTGGATTAGAATTCAAGAACCCCTGGCACACTTGTTCATGGAAATCAGCCTGACAATAGTAGCCTGACCATAGGCCGGGTTACAGCTGGCATTGAGTTCAGCCGACCATTCAGGCCAAAGTGGAGTGGAACAGCAGGACTTATTTTCCAGGTACTAAAGTAAATTCTGGCTTTCTTATGCTTATTTTTTGTGCCTACCAGGACCATTCCATTTCCCTTAGATGTTTCTGGGCAAAAGGAGAAAATGATAAATCTTCTATTGCCATCGTAGTTGAAACAGGGTGGAATTAATAGCTCTTATGATGTTATGATAATCTTATTGATAAGCTAACAATCTCGAGATGAGTGAAGTGTTAAATTTCCCACGTTTGCCTTGCGGTCCATTGTTTCACAGGTTGGAGTTGTGTCCTGTACAAAATATTTGGACACTACTACTCATTCTAAATGTCTTGCAATATATATATTTTTTGATAAATAAAATGTCTAGCAATGTTTTGACATCTACAATATTGGATAAGTGTTGCAAGTTTTCTGTTATCTTTGAGTTAGGGCTTTGGATGGGGTTGGATTTGGTGCAGAGTTTCGAGAATATAAATTCAATTATGTATACACTGGGACCAAAGTTGAACTTAGGCCTCGTTTGGCAACAGGCTGGTTTAGCCAAATAGCCAAAAAGTTACTAAAAAAGCCAAAAAGCCAACAACCTATACCAAAAAGTCAAAGATTCTCTTTTCTCTCTACTTTTTGCACATCTTTTCGTAAAAAGCCAAAAAGTCATCCCAAACATATTAGTTTTTTTTAGCTCATATTTTAGCCAAATAACCAAAAAGTTACTAAAATTAGCCTGTTCCCAAACGAGGCATTAAACTGATGTAACCTTAATGATTGTAATTGAGTTTGACTTCAAAAAAATATTTGAAATCCTGAATTTGATGCTAGTCTGGGACAAATATAAGCAACAGGGTTTTAAATATCTGAATTTCAGTGTATGAAATTAATAAATTACCTTATAAAAGTTTATATACATTCCACATACTATAATAATTCACTGTACTGGTCTTTGTTTTAAGCCAATCAAATCTTTAGTTATTTTTGATAAAAAAAAATGTGTTATGAACCACACATTCTACCTGTATTTCCCTCTAAGTTATACCAAAATTTCCCTTTGGTGCTTCATTTTTCAGTTGTAAGTTGTAATGATGTTAACCTCAAAGTTAAAACTAAATTTTAATGTCATCCTTCAGTCAATATGTGATAATAGGGTGCCATAGGTTTAGTAATTAAAACTTGGCCTATCAATCTAGGTGTATGTGATAATAGGGTGCCATAGGTTTAGTAATTAAAACTTGGCCTATCAATCTAGGTGTTTTGGGTTCGACCTAAGGGCAACCACAATGTGCAAATTATGCGAAAGGTTAGGTGTTTATCCAATTCAATCTTCCCAAACCCCCATCGATTAAACTGGGTATCCTTCCATCAATATTTGTTTATTAGATGAAAGTTAGCCATGTGGTTATCATATGACCTAAATTTTGTGCATTGACAACTTCACTCTTAATTTTATTAACATTTCCCATCCTTCAACTTTTATGAGAAGTTCACTATGGTGACTGAAGTTTTGATTGCAATAGTTGGATGCATGAAAATCCTGAACTTTCAATCAAAGTTCAATGTTAGTTAAAATGGAAAATGTGATGGTGGACTATGAAGCACGGATACTTCAAATAGAGTGACGTATCCGTATCGTATCCGTATCGGATACCGGTACTCCTTGGATATTCGCGGATACGTATCGGATACTTATTAAAAGTATCGGATACTTCTTAATTATTTTTTCATTAATTTTGGAGTATCGGATACTTAATTTTGAAATATCGGATACTCCAAGTTATGTTTACTTGTTTTATGAAATTAGAATTGTAACATTTCTTGCACAGTAATATAATATAATATAATTGCAAGTATAAATATAAGAATATTTTCTAGTACTTTGTTGAATTTTTGAGTAGTAGGTGATGGTAAGTGTATGGTAGGTGATGGTAAATTCTAACAATAAATATAAGAATATTTTCTAATACTTTGTTGAATTTTTCGATAAGAATACATAGTGAGTTAAATAATAGAATTTATCAAATTGGTGTATCCTAATTATTTCATGCATGTCCCCTATAACTACATAGAAAGTAAGAGTTAACAAGAGAATATAACAATGGTAAAATTAAATATCAATATATAAATAAGCAAGTAAACTTGAATACAATATTTTTTACTAGTGTCAAAGGAAAAAGCGTAAGGACAAGTTGTGAATTGTTCTATTATTGTAATATAAATATATTAAACTTGATATTGAAATGAAATATTTGCAAGACCTATTAAAAATTTAAAAAGTAAACAGGCTACTAGCTTAAATTAATACAAAATTCTTAAAGGTTAGTATTTTGTATTATAAAATTACATTGTGGTTTCTCTAAGTTCTTGGGCTTATGTGTAACTCACTATTAATAATTTTAAAAATTATATTTTTTACAAACGTATCCTAGGCGTACCGGTATCCTATTTTTTTAAGTTTTGTCGTATCGCCGTATCCGTATCATGTCGTATCCGTATCTCGTATCTGTATCTATGCTTCCTAGATGGTGGATTTTATTTGAGAGAGACAGTAACTAAAGGTAATCACTATGCTTGGTTCCATTTTTTCAAAAACAGTTTTCAGAAAATTCTACTTATTTTCCGTGTTTTTTTGTTTTTACTGAATTTTTTTAATATTTTAAGAATTTTTTTTTACTTTTTAGACATGCCTAACATAATTATATCTAAAAAGTAAAAAATTTGTGAAAAAAACCTTTTAAAAATTCACTAAATACTAAAAATACAAAAAAAATACGAAAATTATGTACATTTTTTGTATTTTTATGTATTTATTAATTTTTTAAAATATTTTTTCACAAATTTTTTACTTTTTAGATACATCTAAGTACGGTGCATCTAAAAAAGTAAAAAAAAAAATGTTTAAAATGTTAAAAATATTCACTAAAAACAAAAAAATACGAAAACCAAAAAACTTAATTCAAAAAACTCAAACCAAACACACTGAATAGTGTTTGTGCACGTTATGGTAAAAGATATGATGGTCAATTTTGTTTGAGGGAGAAATTATAATTGGCATAAGTGATGAGTTTCATTAAGTAGAATGTGACTTGTTGAAAAATATGATGGTGGATTTTTTTACGAAAGGAAATAAGTGAAACTTGCTAATGAAATTTGTAGTTGGCGGAAATATAATCAATGCATTTAGTGCATATGCTCCCCAAGTAGGATTGGATCAACATATTAAAAGACAATTTTGGGTCCAATGGGATAAATCAATTCAAGAGATGCATGTAGGAGAGAAGGCAATTATGGGTGGAGAATTTAATGGGTAAGTAGGAAAAAATAAGCAATGGGTATAGGAGTGTGCATGGTGGATATGGTTTTGGTGACCAAAACAAGATCGTGGAATGCGTTTTAGATTTCATAGTAGCTTTTGATATTATAGTAACCAACACTTTAATTTAACAAGAGAGGAACACTTTATAACTTTTAAAAGTAGGTCCAATAAGAGTTGAGTAGATGACTTTCTTGCATCTCCTGGGCACCTGATCATCAAAAAAAATAAGTCGCTTAACATGTAAAGATTATAAGGTTATCCTGGGAGAGTTTAACATCACATGGACTAATGATAGATATCTCCATTAAATGGCAAAAAAAAAAAAAGAAAAAGAAATTAGAAATCCAAGAACTTGATTGATTGTGGAACCGTTAGTACAAACATGAACAAGTGACACAAGAAAATGCAGGACACGATATGCCTAGGACACGTGAAAAATTTATATTTTTGTAAATTTGTTATGTCAAACATATGAATAGTTTAGGGTAAATTGCACTTTGCCCCTTTATGTTTGGTCATTTTCTCACTTTGGCCCTCAAAGTTTAATTTTTTTCTCATTTTGGCCCCTTATGTTTCAAATTTTTCCTAGTTTACTTCTAAATCAAAATTAGACTGAAAATGTCACATTAATTGCCAAATAACATAAAAAATATATTATCATATTGGGACCTAGGTTTGTATCAGAGGTGTGAGTTATATATAATAAAATAATTTTATGCCATGTGGTTGTCAATGTGTTATTTTTTGTCTAATTTTAGACATAAGTTAACTTTTGAAATAAATTGGGAAAACTTAAAACATGAAGGGTCAAAATAGGAAAAAACAAATTTTAAGGGCCAAAGTGAGAAAATGAACAAACATAAAGGGGACAAAGTGTAAGTAACCCTTTTGAAAACTAATAAAAAAAGCTACATTACACTAATTAAAGTTAAAAAATCATTATTTTATCATTTAAACATCAAGATATAACAATTGTATTTTAAAGAATACAAAATAATTATAGAACATTAAAATACACACTATATTTATCACATAAGACATTTCAAAACATATTTACAGTACATACGTTCCATTAAGAAGAATGCCGAACGTGTGTGACGATAAAGATATTCATCACATAGGTCGGAGAGTTCAGTGTTGCCAAAGTGCTCGCAAAGTGTTTGTAAACTGTTCGATACTATGAATTTAAAATTTTAATTAAGACATGTTGAAGGAGTGTCAAACCCATTTTTAAGAGTGTCTGCAAAGTGTCAATGTTCGACACGATACACTTTCCTATAGAAGTGTCCGTGCTTCATAGGTTGATGAACCAAATCTAGGAAATGGATTTCATTAGGGAGAAAGTCCCAAATTGAGATACAAGAGCTCTAATCTCTGAAATTTACAAATTAAAATATCATAGAACTCCATATTTGAGCCTAAACCTACTACTTATAGGCTAAGGCGACTACACCACCTAAGCACAATATTCACTCTAAACCGTATTACATCATAGGTGGAATCTAAAGGTGAGAAATTAAAAATGCTTGAAGGATATAATGTTTAAAGAAGTAACGTAGCATTAGAAAATGAAATTAATAATGTGGAATACAATGGAAAAGTGCATTAAAGAATGTCAAAGGAAATCCTTGGAGAGTTTATGGGAAAATGTCTTCTATTTAAAGAAATTTGGTGGTGGAATGATGATGTTCAAGCTATAGTAATAATGGAAAAATAATGCTTTTAAAAAGTAGCAAAAGGATAAAAATGATTTTTTATAAAAGAGATATAAATGGATTAGCAAGGAGGTGAAAATTATAGTAAAAGAGAAGTTAAATTGAATAGTAAATTATAAATACACCCCCTGAGGTTTGATTAAAATACAAATCGCCCCCTGTGGTTCTGGAAATTATATTCCACCCCTTGAGGTTTCTAATTTCATAACAAATCGTCCATTTTATTAATAAATCATCAAGTCAATTAACATTTTTTAATGATATTACTAATATGTTTCAATTAATAATTTAGGTAATTTTATTATTGTATATGAGAGCAATTATGAATTTCTTTTTTTTAGTTAATTCTGTTAAATAATTTTTTTTAACAAGGAGGTATTTGTAATTTTTCAAACTACAGGGGGCAATTTGTACTTTAAGCAAACCTCAGGAGGTGTATTTGTAATTGTAGAAATTTAATGTATAAAGAGAAATAGAGAATTGTATTATTGATTGATGTATTACAAGATTGATTGATTTTGTGTTATGTATTACAACTCCTATATATAGAAGAGAAGGTGGTAGTAGGTGTAGTGTAGTGGAGGTGGTAGGTGAAGTGGGTGCTAGTGGAGATAATGTATAAAGAGAAATAGAGAATTGTATTATTGATTGATGTATTACAAGATTGATTGATTTTGTGTTATGTATTACAACTCCTATATATAGAAGAGAAGGTGGTAGTAGGTGTAGTGTAGTGGAGGTGGTAGGTGAAGTGGGTGCTAGTGGAGATGGTAGGTGGAGGAGTAAATTGGTAAATTCTAACAGTAATTTACCTTAAATTGAAAGCCTATGCCGATCTGTATACTAGTAAATGAAATTAGTAAAAGAGATATTTTGGTTTTGTTTCTTTTCACTGTTTTTTGTTTTATGTAGAGGATGCCTTATCCTCACTTCTTTTTGGTTTTGAGCCTTAATAAATTTTTTGTTGTTGCTGATCACAAAAAAAAGACTAGGCAGTAAAGATGAAGAGTAAAACATTTATAAACTTGCTCAGCTGAGTGTGAGTAAAACAAGAGAATTTAATTGTTTTAGTGTATAAAAGAAGAGGAATTGAGGGTGTTCTAAAGGATGATGAGATTAAGGAAGGTGATTTTTTTTTTTTTTTGGAGAAGTTACATGATAAACATTTAGAAAGCTTAGAAGGAGAGGAATATAGTAGTTTTGATATACAAGTTCTATTATAGAATAAGAAAGTTTGAAGTGGAGATTGTACTGAAGAAGATATGTGAAATAAGGTCTTAAAATCAGATTGTATTTTTATCGAGGCTTGGAAATGCTTAGGTGAGAAGGGAGTGTCTTGGTTAACAAAATTATTTAATAAAATTTTAATGACTAGAAAAATGTCATATGAGTGGAGCTTGGAGGAAAAGTACTTTAATACCCATAGACTATATATAAAAATATAGGGGATCTCCAAAATTACAATAACTATAGAGGGATTAAATTGATGAGTCCTACACTGAAATTATAGGAGAGAGTGATTGAACATTAGTTAATAGTTGTAACAACAGTGTCAAAGAATCAATTTAGATTTTTGCCATGTAGATCAATAATGGAAGTGATTTACTTATTAAGGAGGTTAATAGAAACATTCAAATAGAAGAAAAGAGATTTTCATATTATTTTTTCTAGATTTAAAAAAAACTTTAGCTAGTGTGCCTAAACATATAATATCGTGGGTGTTAGCGAAAAAGGGAATAACAAAGGGGTATATTGATGCAATAAAAGACACTATTCTATGACTACAATTAGGTCATCTGTAGGAGAAACAAGTAAATTCCCAATTACTGTAGGATTGCACCGCACCATTAGTCAACCTTGAGTACTTATCTATTTGCCTTAGTTATAGATGAGTTAACTAGACACATTAAGAGGACTACCCTGGTGCATGTTGTTTGAAAAAGTCTGGGAACCTAGATAGAACCACCCAGATTTTTCTAGGTTGGTGATTGTGTGGTGGAGATTAAATTTATGTAGTGTGGGGTCCATATATAGAATAAATCTGAACCACAAGATGATAATTCTGGATAATTTCTAGATAGTTAAGTCTGGGTTTGTAGTATTGCTGATGTTGTTCGCATATGATGTTGTTATAGTGGATGAAATCAAAAGAAGATAACTTTAGTAATAATACAAGTAGAAATAGTGTATAAAGTGAGTGTCTAAAATCAAGAGATTACTAAGATTGAAAAATTATGTTCTCTCGGTGCATTTTTTAATAAGCATGGAGAAGTTGGAGTTGATGTGATCCATTGATAGAAGTAAAGCAAATTAGCTAAAGTGGAGGAGTGCTTGGTATATATTATGTGATTGATGTATTCCAACAAAATTGAAAAGAAAATTATATAGAACAATTATAAGGCCAATAATGTGTTACGAGAAAGAACGTTGGACAATTGAGAAATAACGCACAAGTACAATGTGTGTAACTAAGATGAGGATGTTGAGGTGGGTGTATAGTAAGACTAGAAAAGATAGAATTAGAAATGAATACATTTGCGAAATGGTAGGAGTAACATTAATTGAAGATAAGTTGAGAGAGAATGGATTAAGAGGGGTTGGTCATGTATAACAAAGACTGGTAGAGGCAACAGTGAGGAAGTGCCAATTATCACTAGGGGGAAGAGAAGACCATGATTGACATAGGATACTATAGTAAAGAAGGATATGTATTTATTTAATTTAACTTAGCCTATAACCTTTGATAGAGCATATAATAGAGAAAAACAGGTTTCAATTGATTGGGATGCAAGACTTGGTTTTGGCTTGAAGTGAAACTTGGAAATAACATTTGAGGGACCAAAGTGAAATTTGGGTAAACTTTGGAGGGTGACAAATGTTAATCAAAAGAAGGGAAAAGTGATCAATATGTGATAGCCACATGCTTGATCTTCATCTAATTTAACAATGACTATTGTTTGTCAGGGGAACATGATTGAAATTCGTGTGTAACTTCATTATTGACATTATCAGAATTGAAATATGAGGGATTAAAGTGAAATTTTGGTATAAATTAGAGGGTAATAAATATAAAATCTTCCTAGTTTTATGTTTTATTATTGCCTATTTTGAATTATTAAATAATTATTTTCAGCATGCTGGTGCTCGTGATGATAAAGGGAATCCCATTATTAAGGACTTCTATAGCAGCCCGCTTACTGCAAGGTATGCATCTTTCAGACTGATAGTGAAACCTTTATAAACTTACCAAGAATAATGTACTTGTCACGTTTTTTTGCAGCGGCAATACGCATGACGATACATTACTTGCTAAATTTGAGTGTGTATACACTGGTTCTGGTGACCCTGGATCTTCAATGGTAAGTTTGTCCATAACTTTCTGATAGTTTTTTGCCAACTACATCTAAACTTTATCCTTATTGTAATTTTTGCAGTTTGTCTTCAACATGGAGCAAGGACTTCCTGTATTGCCAGAATGGCTGTTTTTCAACAGAGTGAATGCTCGTGCAAGGAAGGGTTTAGATATTGGTCCTGCTCGCTTTCTTTTGAGGTATGATGTCCTTGTTACTATTTTACTTTTGTCTTCCTAATAGGAATAGTGTTCTATCCGGAAATCTGAGCTGTATAGTGAGGAGGATATTGAGCAGGTTGTAACTTTTTAAGTATCAGCTTTAGTTGTTCTCCACCAGAAAATGTTGTCTGTGTGTTTTGCCTAGTTTCTTTCTGTCTACTGACTTGCTTTGGTTACTACTTCTACTTAGTTTATCTGGTGGCCATGTGGTTGGCAATTTCTCCCCTCACGAGGCATTTGCAATTGGTGGGACAAACAGTGTGAGAGGTTATGAAGAAGGTGCAGTAGGGTCAGGGCGGTCTTACGTGGTTGGCTCTGGAGAAATTGCTTTCCCACTGGTATGCCGTGCAATTTAATTTGTTTTCAATGTATCTGTTTGATAGTGGGTTATTTGCAGTCTCTTAGTTTTGTTGTGGAACACCCCCAATTTATTTAAAACAGAACAATATTCAGCATGACGGATATATATATATATATAACAAACAAGGAATTACTAATTAGTGCCAAAGGTTCTCTTTCCCATTGAACTATAACATAACAGTTATCAAATACATGCTGGTGTTCACAGTTCAAGAAGTTAGAGAAGATCAAAATAAATGCCTTATGGCTTACAATTTCTAAGGCAAGGTTTTCAATACACAAAAAGGACTCTCGGTCCCAAAACAAAACAAATCTCTTATCTATCATGGCACATATTCAATTTGTGCTTTAGCCCAAACAAAAGGGTTGATCCACTTTTACTTCATTGGGTTAGTTGTGGCTCACCAATTTCCTGAAATTTTGTTAGATAGGTATGAGCAATTGCCCAGTAGAGAATATATTTAACCAATTATATAAACATTTAATTTAAATTATGCCTAACCCATGATTCCTTCCCGATGAACACTAATTCCACAATCTCATATTCCAATGCATGCATATCGTTCCGTTTAATTTCACATTTCTCCGTCCTCACACGGATGGCTAGTTGGCACCTCAAACCTTCCACATTCATCGTCCTTACACAATCGGGCATGTGGACATCTGCAAACAATCCCACATTCATTGTCCTAGCACGATCGGGCAAGTGGGTACCTCAATTTCCCTGCGTGGGTAATACCACAATTCACATTAAACAACTATCCAAAACTTTGAGTTTATCTCAACACAAAATGGCTCAACAGATTCCCAATTCACCCATGAATTTCCGTCTATTTACCATGATCCATGAACAATGTTTAGGGTTTCACAAGAAATTGGGGCTTTTCTTTTTATTCTTCATTTTCCAATATTCATGGTGTACACATTGGTTTTCATTAAGAGATAACCCTTTATTTCAAAAATTTTAAGGCAAGAACCCTCAAATCACCATCAAAGTCCATATACCCAAACACCCATCCCACATCACACACATATCATGGAATTAACACATAATTAAACCAAAACATAAATATACAAGGCTAAAGATATTCCTATCTCAAGATTGTGTGGAAAGAGATGAAGTCCCAACAAATAAACTTCTGAGATATCACGTTCCAATCGGTTCAAAATGTAGCTCTCAACAAGATCAACAATTTTGATGAAGGAACAAGGATGGGTTCTCATTTTAAATAGATGAAATCTAGTGTTTTGGTGTTAGGGTTTCGGAAAAAAGTGTTAGAGAGAGAAAGCGTGTGAAATAGTGAAATAAAAATGGGTTTAGATCGATTTTTAAATCTACTGTCCTGAACAGACCGCTCGAGCGAACGTTCCATCGCTCGAGTGACTAACACAATTTCGAACATACTGTTCGAGCGAACCATCTACCGCTCGAGCGGTAAACGCATGATCTCAGAAGTTTTGCAGGTCTACAGTGAAATTACGCATGATCTCAGAAGTTTTTGAATTTTTAAGAGAAACTGATGCAGAAGTTATTGCACTTCATGGATATTTCATATAAACTGATAGATATAAACCTCAAGTGTAGTGTGCTGTGTTGGGAGAGTAGTTACCTTCTCTTCAGCCGATTCAGATACCCAAGTTTTTATTTGTAAGAATACATCAAAATGTTAATGATATACATAGTTATTTCTATTTTTTACTGAGTCTAATACATCATCTATGCATTGTTGATATCCACAATGTTCTTGTTAGAACATTAGATATTTTAAACAACAATGTCTATATGCATAATCTGCACTTTCAAATGGATGTTGGGTTAATAATTGATACTCGCGGTTTATGCAGATATTAAGTTATAAAGTAACATTAGGTCTGTATAGGACTAGTATCTTCCTCATAGACCTTAAGGTCATGTTTGATTCACAAGATTAATAGTAAAGTATTAATAATCCTATTAAATTAGTGTGGTATTCATTATCTAATTGGATTAATATCCATAGGATTAATAATCCCACCACTACCCCATTACTAATAATCCTACAAATTTGTTGGATTAATTATCCATTGGATTAATAATCCTAAACCAAAATGTTAAAACAAACATAGGATAATTGGGCCCACGGATTAATAATTCCAATCCCATGCTCTAATCCACCCAATCAAACATGCCATAAAGGTATGTTTTGAGTCAGTGCGCACTATTTTCAGGGTCGTTTGAAGGCTGTAATTTTCATGTTCATGATCCGTTTGTTACTTCATTTTTTCATTGTCCTCCCTGAGTTATTTGACTTCATGTGTGCTATTGAGGCTGTGTCTGGCTGTTTGAGAATTTGTCTGAAAAATTGTGCTAGACTGTTAAATATGAAGGAAAAAGTAAATTAATTTTGTAGACATTTATGCTTAATGAAATTAGATGATAGGGCCAAATTAAGGGGTGAAGTGGTGATGCTTTAAAAAGTAATTGTTATATGGGGAAACTAGAATCTGGATTCTATAAATAAGATGTAGATGATAGCGAATCATTCTGGTTAAATCAAGTTACTGAATTACTGTTGCTTTCCCTCTCTCCCTCCCCCTATCAATTTGTGGATAATTGTATATTTGCAATTATAGGGAATCATGTCTGTGTAAATATTTCTGCCATATTTTGCAGTTGGGGCCAGTAGAAGGTGCTATTTTTGCTGATTATGGAACTGATCTTGGATCAGGCCCGACTGTGCCTGGTAATGTCATTATCCTTTACAATTTATTGTGTCCACGGTTTTGTTTTTTGTTTTTTTGGGTTAGTGCTCAAAGATGGTGGCATGAGATGGTCAAGGTGAAACTTCATAAAGTCGGAGTTTGTGAGTTGAGTGTATGTGTGAAAATGCATCTTTGAGCTCTCCTGTCACCATCTTTGGGTAGGCATAGCACTTGACTGTAAATCTGGCTGATAGGAATAGGATGAGGGATTAAACATCCATACAATAGCCCACAGAATGAAGTGGCCCATTATGATAATGGACAATTGAATGGGAATTGTCACCTCACCACTGACGAGGCATGAAACCTCAGACAAAATTTCTTGCATGATCACATTATTTGTTGGTTTGTATACAGTGTATCATGTTAGAATGTCTCATCTTGGATAATTCTGATAATGTGAGATGGGATTACTGAATAATTGCTTTTGGATCCTAGGAAAGGTGTGGGATCATCTTGATCTGAACACTGTAGGGTGCTTGAATCGTACAGTTGCAGATGAAAGAGTATAGTCGGGCTGCTTTTTCTTCTTAGTGTTTGAGAAACATAATAATACTTATATTTTACTGGTCTCACATCAGGTGATCCTGCTGGGGCAAGGTTAAAGCCTGGAAGTGGATACGGGTATGGGTGTGGGGTACGTGTGGACTCTCCTTTGGGGCCTCTGCGACTTGAATATGCCTTCGACGACAGGAAAGCAGGGAGGTTTCACTTCGGGGTTGGTCATCGTAATTGAAAGAGAGGTCTTTGCATTACCATATCCACAGATTTGCGTTGATGCCAAATGTTATAATAATCAATTTTGGTTTGTTTAGGTGTATTGGTTTGGTTTCCCTGCCTGTGATCAATTTTTTCTTTGTACAAAAATCATTTTGGGCTGCTTTTATGTGGGTCCATAAAAGCAACATAGCATCTGTTATGGTGAGAACTAGTTTACTTTTGGGGGCTCTAGGAACGCAAGAACATCTTACTGTAATCTTGTTAGATTGAAAAAAGTACTGTGGTTGTTATCAAGGCTATTTTTTTTTTCTAGAGTGATTGTTGTAACAAAATAAATTTTGAATTTTGTTAATTTAATTTTTTTTTTGTTTTCAATTTAAACTATTTATCTATTTTTGTTAAGTAAGATTGACAGAAAAAATGTATTTTACCTATTAATTTCAATGTAAGTTACATAAAAAGTCAAGAATATATTTTCTCGTTGAATTTGATGATTGAAATATATATATTTTTTCTGTTGGTTTTGTTTACTCTATTTGTTTGGGTGAAACATATTTTTTAATGGAAAATATTTTTTGCAGAATTTTTTTGTCAAAAAATATTTTTTTGGAGAAAATATTTTTCTATGTTTGGTGGTGGTGGAAGGTGGAGGTGGTTGTGGTGGCATAGTGGTTGGGGCAATGACGGCGGTGATGGTGACAGTAATGGTACTGATGGCCATGGTGATGGTGGTGTTGTGGTGGAGGTGAGTGGTGGTGGTGGTGGTGATGGTAGTGTTGTAGTGATATTGGTAAAATTTTAATTGGGAAAGCATTTCTGGCCTTATAAAAGTGAAAAATATTTTTTTATACAAATGTCTGTTTTCCATTGACTATGAAAATATTTTTCATTGACTTTTATTTTTTATTATACCAAAAAAAGAAAATTGTGGAAAACATTTTGTAGAAAATAGTTTATGTCCGGAGTCTCAATGAAAATGGGTAAGTGGTCTAGATTGAAAATAAATAAAAAGATTAGGGTTGAAATTGATAAATTAAAAATTTAGGATTTAATTTATTTCATGGGTCAAAACTTGACATTTTTCATAATTTTTTCAAAATATTTTGATTGTTTTGTTTCAATTGATTTTAGTGACGAGGAAATAAAATAATTTTTGTAAACAGAGTCAATCATATTTTGCAAGTGTTAAAAAAATAGCATGTTTTTTTTTTTTTTTTCTTCTTGATTTGTGTTTTTTAATTTTATTATTATTATTTTTTAACTTTTCAAGACTTTTGAGTTTAGAAAGATCTAAAAAGTAAATTTTAGTTTGAAAATAATTAAAAAAATAAATAAATTAAAACCCCACTTGGAACTTTTTCAATAACAAATATATATATTATTTCATCATTTGTTAAACATATTATTTTTTTAACAATAATTTTAAATTTAAGAAGCTAAAAAAGCTCATAAAAATGTATTTGTCAAACCAACATTGTAAGGCACAACTCCAATATGCTTTTTATATTGTACTTAGTTTTATCCAGTTAAATCGCAATTTTGATGCTTGACAAAATACGGAACCCACAAGATATTATACGCATTTATACCTCATCTGCAAGGGGTTGGCTATAATTATTTACCTAAAAAAAGAGGTCGTTTGTAATTGAAGGGCTAAGCAACGTTTAGGAGTGTAAAAATGGTCTGAGTCTTGAGAGCGGTCCGAAGCCCTCTCACAGCCGGACTCGGCAAGTTTCGGCCTGGGCTCGAGCCCAACCTAAGACCTTGAACCTGGGCCTGGGCCTTAGCCTTCCATTTGAAGCTTGACCCGGCTCACCTGTCCATCCCTCCACAAACGGTCAAATTTCCAAAAAAATAAAAAAAAAATAAAAATAAAATTCAAGTTGCAAGTTGCAAATAATGGTTAAACAATTTAAAATAAAAATAAAAATAAAGGTTGATCTTGTTATGCAACAACAGCAAAAAAAGAAAATAGAAAAAAAGAAGGGCTGGTCATTTCTTTGCAGAGAGGCAACATGACCGGCCCTGAGATTGCCAAGGCCTAAGGCGAACTATGAAAATAAGGCCCCCTCTAATATAATTTTTTTTTAATAAAAAATTTATGCATAAAATGATAAGTATACTTCCTAATTTTATGCATAATTTTTTTTGGTCTACTTTCATCTTCTTCTTTCTCTTTTCATTTCCAGAACTATATTTCTAGGAAACATGACCATAATCACACTTCAATCCACAAATTATAATCTATTGATTATCTTATATCTGATAGCAAAGAAATTATAAAAAAATAATTTAATGAAACAAAATTAGGAAAAAATTATTCAATTAAAACTGATAAAGACCTAGGTAAACAAATTAGGGTAAAATTATTTATTCCACTAATATCTAATAGATAAAGAAGGTAAAAAAAAAAATAAGGGCAAATTTGTTATTCTACTAACTGATAAAAAAAGAATGTAGAAAAAAATTAGGGCAACTTTATTTAATAAAATCTGATAGTGAGAGAGAGGACCTACTATGAGAGAGTGTGTGAGAGAGAGAGTCGTCGGAGGAGAGGAGTGTGAGAGCAAGAGAGAGGGAGAGTGAGTCACCGACTCGCTCAATGCTTTCAGCTTCTACCCTTCGTTATGCTTGCTTGGTATATGCTTCCTTTTTCATCACTTCGTGAGAGAGAGAGAGAGAAAGAGAGAGAGAGAGCACTGAGCAATGTATTGTATGTATCGTTCTTCTTGAGCCCCAAACACTTTTTTTTTTGGTATATATTTTCATTTTAATAAATATAGGCCAAACCACACTTATAAATAAATATGAGCTAAACTATACTTATAAATATGGGCCTAATAAAATATTTTGGGGCCCTTTAAATTGGTCCTAAAAATAAAAAAAAAAACAATTGGGTCTATAACATTTTACTAAATTTAGGAGCCCCTATTTTGGGCCAAAATTTCGGGGCCTAAGGCACAAGCCTCACTGGCCTTAGGCCAGGGCCAGTCTTGGGAGGCAAAGCTAACGCCTGCCCCTTGCCCTGCAGCGGTAGGACTGACTCAAAAGAAATTACCAAGATCATTTATCAAGTCATTTCCTTGCAGGCTACTAGTACCGCCCAACCACTGCCCCCATTGGGCCTTGCCTTGTCATCATGTCAAGCAGCATCATCACTCACATCTTGATTCATTGCAATTTGCAATGAATGAAAAATAAATAAATAAATAAATAAATAATCTACATTTATTTTATTTAATAATATAAATTTTTGTAATATTTTATTTATTCATTCAATAAATGTTATATAATTAATTTAATATTGTAATATTGAAAGTTTCATTTTCATATATATAAAATTATGTATTTCAAAAGAAAAAAATTACATAATTGCATATTTTTTTAGTTATAAGTTCATAATTAAAAAAATATAAGACATACATAATTAAATTCAAATACCACCATGAAACATAACCAAACAAAACATTTCATTAATCCTAACTAAAATACTCTAGTATAATTTTTCTTTTATAATATATAATTTACATAGATAATATATTTATTGTTCATTTTTTCAAGAAAAAAAGGGCCCGCCCAGCCCCAGTTCGCGATCAGAGCCTAAACCCTAGGCCCTATTTTGAGTGGGCCTCTGGGCCCCACTTTTTGGCCCATGGCCTGGGCCGGCCCACCAAAAAAGAGAGAGCCCCGCGAGGCTCGCTTGGGCCGGCTCGAGCTCAAGTGCGGACGGTTTGGGCAATTGTTACATCCCTAGCAACTTTAGACCAATACATTCTCTCATTTTGTTGGGCAAATTAGAAGAGAAAAGAAAAGAACTAATTACATAAGCTAATGGGGACACAAAATAAGAGAAATAATTGTGTTTTCTCCCTCTTTTATTTAGATAAACAGGAGAGAAAAAAAAAGAATGATTTTTCTTTATTTTGTCACGCCCGGTATTTTATTACTCGGATAACATTACTAAATCCATTATAACAATTCCATTTAGTTGAGAATAAACAAGAATAAATATTATCATTCTCTCACGACAACAATGATGATATAAATAAGACATGGTGTAACGCCCTTAGGCTTACATTGGATAGCAATAATTACAATCGAAGGGATTTACCCTCATACAATACATGACACTCGGCCTACAAGTAAAGGGCCCCGCGACCAACAATTAAGAGACTTCAAGTCATACACGATTCCTCCAGTCTTGTACCTGAAAAAGTTTATCAATACGTGGGATGAGCACTAAGCCCAGTAGAGACCCCAAAGATCCTAACCAATCACAACATATAGATAAAAATGATCATGAATGCATCAAGACATACCATATAAGTAGTGTGGCATTTAATATCCAAAATATATACATATAACTGTATTTTTCTCAAAAGTTCCTCTTGACACAATTTGGTATAAAAATCATTCTTTCTCTTTTGCATTCCCATCATTACTTCCAAAAGAAAATGTTTTGATATAAATAAGACATGGTGTAACGCCCTTAGGCTTACATTGGATAGCAATAATTACAATCGAAGGGATTTACCCTCATACAATACATGACACTCGGCCTACAAGTAAAGGGCCCCGCGACCAACAATTAAGAGACTTCAAGTCATACACGATTCCTCCAGTCTTGTACCTGAAAAAGTTTATCAATACGTGGGATGAGCACTAAGCCTAGTAGAGACCCCAAAGATCCTAACCAATCACAACATATAGATAAAAATGATCATGAATGCATCAAGACATACCATATAAGTAGCGTGGCATTTAATATTCAAAATATACTTATATAACTGTATTTTTCTCAAAAGGTTACTCTTGACACAATTCAGTATAAGATGATTTCTTTTCTTTCTCATTCCCATCATTACTTCCAAAAGAAAATGTTTTAAAACCTCATTCTTTCTTTGATAAAACTTCTCACGTTAACATAAAAGAATCTCACTTGAACCACTATTCTAAAAATATAACCCCACATGCAATTCATAATCCCCATCCTACCTCTCAATACACCATAAGCATTTACATCCCAATATATATATATATATATACCTACAACCTTCCCTGACTATAGGCCCAAGGATTTAAAAAAAAGAAATCAGTATGAAACTGTTAACACATATGTATATATACACATTTGAACAAGATAACCAAAGTAATACATACTATCAATCTCATCTCCACAATACGAAAATTGACAACACGTATAGATATCTACAATGGAATAATTGAAGTAATGCATGCCACCAATCTCATCTCCACCGGCCTACAGCACGGATGGCAGATCAAACAACACCAATACCACATAACACTTTACTGGCCTCACCCAGAAGGAGGT